CCCGGCTGAAGCCGACGAAGAAATTCTCACCCACTTCTCCTGCTGCAAGTTTCAAGTGCCTACAGCATTTGCTGATGCTTTGAATTGCCATCTCAGAGTTACATGAATTTGCTGGGACACTTCTTCTGAAGCAAAGCTTGAGAAAGAGGAATTACTATATTTTTCCAACCTTTTTAATCTCTGCCTCCCCGCACAGCTGCAGTAAACTGTGGTTGTGTTGCTTCTTACCCGTCTCACAGTAGGGATCGCCATCTTCTAAGTGGAAGACGTTATTGCGGATGGGGTTATGACAGGCCACACACACGAAGCAGGAAACGTGCCAAGTTTGTTTCAAAGCATTTATTACTTCCTGTGGGGATTAGAAAAACTGTTATTAACACATTATTTTGATGTGATGACTAGGTTGCAGTGACCATGCCTCCACACTTGATTTGCTTCAAGAATACTTTGTTTCCTACTGCTACTTTGAAAATGAGTTGTTCGCAGAATTTCTGCTGATGTTTAACTTAATGAGGGTGCTTTATTTATGGTACGTCTCCTTATTGTCATAAGCAGCATTTCATTTTTTGGAAGGTTCAGTGTAAAGTCAGACAGATTTAACATCTCATTTATTCACCTCTTTCATTTTAATCAGGATCTCAACCACAACGGTCCCCTGAAATAAGAAAAGCAGCATCTCCTCCATCTCCTCAAGTCTGTGAATAGTTAATCAGAAGACATCACACAGAAAATTATGACTGCTCCGTGTTGTTTTGGAAGGCGCTACAGTGCCAAATATGACTTGAGAATTGCCCTGCCAGAGCCCTGTGTGACCCTAGTTACACAAGAGTCCAGACATATTGCTGTCTGCAGTAAAGCAGCGGACGATCAGCTGGCAGGCTCAAATTAGCAATATTAGTGCCGAGTAGGATAATGTGTCTTTCTATCCACACTACCACTGGGAATATTTCAGTACTTCACATCTGGCCAAACGACGTGTTCCTCAGTGCTCAGCTCGGCTAAGGAGGATTATTTGTTTTTCCTTCCCCCTCGAATTCTGTAAAAAGCTGCCAATTAAAAGTGTTTTGCTCAAGAAAATCTAGTAATCACAACAGCTACAGAGCAGCTTCGTGAAAACTTGGAAGAAACAAGGAGTCTACAGCACCTTTTCTCAAAGAGACTGAAAAGGCTCAACATTAGAAGAGCCAAAACCATATTCTGTACATGATGGGCACTGAAAAGGTATGTCAGACTAAGTCTGGAGGCATGCAAGCTGGGCCAGATAAAAGGTAATTTCATTACACAGAAGCACTGAACACTGTGGGGGTTGTTCCCACTGAGAAACAGGGCACTCACTGGTCACTTACCCCAAGGATCTTCCTCTGGCACTTTGAACACTCAGGGGCGAAGAACTTCTCATAGCAGACCTCGCAATACAGCGCCCCTTTCTCTTCCACAAATCCAATGTAAGCCATGGAGGTTTTGCAGTGAGCACAATTAAACTCCTCTGGATGCCACGACTTCCCCAAAGCTACCAAGAAGGGTCCCCTGATTAGAAAGAAGAGATTTTGTCAGCAAATGCCCCTGGGTTGGCTCCTGCAAAAGCTGTTAATAGGCTCAACATTTGATACCTCTGTGCCATTATGACCTGTTCACATTTATTGCTCATTCCCTCTTTCCTCCTACAGGCTCCAGGAAAGCATCAGGTGTCAACCAGACCTATTCCCATTGAACTATCTGCCACAAAGACCTGACCACAATAAATACCAATTCTCTTTGCTTCACTGCATCAGAAATTTTTTTTGGAGCTACGTTAAATACAGTGCTGAAGTGGCTGCTAGAGAAAATGAGAAGGAGGATGTTCCCAGTTATTTCCATCTATTGCAAAGAAATACTTGACTCAGCAATATCATCAGCTTTCTTTCAGTGTGCAATTGTATTGAGGTCACAAATTGTTAAGTAGACTTAACTCCATTAAGAGCCAATAATAGCAGTACTTGTGAGACAAAAATTCAATTGCTGTCCTTATCTGACATGTTTGTTACACGATAACACACTCCAGTTGTTGGGGCTTTTCCTTAAAAAGCCAGTTAAAATAGGACCATTTTCTGCAAGTACAGTCTCCTCTATTATTTGCAAACACAAAACGATGATGCTTCTAACAGCATTTGTCTGGCTGATGCAACAAGGTTAATAGACAAAATAAACCTGTCCATCTCTTAGTCAACAAAAAAATTTCCAGTTTGTAACTCACAAGTCCCACATATACCATTGTATCTGTATTCATCTGAAAACATATTTAGCATGCTAATTTCTTTAATGAACATATTTACTTTAATGAGGTGTCTCTAAAGTCCCACCAACACTCAACCTTCCAGACTTTAGGTTTCAAGGGAACTTTGTGGTTTATCTCCCTCATCAGATTTCCCTGTTTTGCAAGACCAATACAGATGCCATTCTTTTAGTAATGTATCACTTTTTTTACTGAGCTAATACTTCACTGCAAAAAGAGTGTAAAGCACTACTATCACTACATTGTTGCTAAACATTTTCTTTTAATCAAGTAAGCTTCAAGAATGTTTTTGTGTAAGATAAGATTTTCATATGAACAAAGCAACAGCATTAGAGAAATAAAAAAAACCCCCTTATTATCTGCTTCTGGGGTTATACTGACTCTAAAATGGGAATATAAGTGGGCAGAGGACAGAGAGCAACTTCCTTGCAAATAGGGGGTAATTATTTTCATTTCTCTTCTACATTTCCTCTGGAGATGCTATGTATTTTCAACAGGATGAAAGTCAAAGATAAGGGACTCAAGCAGATTTAGGATGAGTCACATACCTGAGATGATGAACCTATTTAATCTGAAACAGTTTCTTCCATTCACCTCTGATTATTGGAGAGAAAACAGTGAAAAACGGCTCATGGAGAGCAGCTCATAGCCCTTTAAGGAGGGAGTCGGGGTTGAGCGCAGCTCCCTGGCCCCCGCTCCCAGCGGATGCCTGAGCAGTGCAAACACTGACCTAACCCGATACCCTCCTGCCGCTCAACAAGCACCTTTTTACATCAATGCCCTTGCAGTTATGTACTGATCAAACAATACAAGCCCTTATGTACAACAAAGTGCTCTCAGTGCGCCGTGTCAGCACTGGCTAATTTAACAGATTCATTAACACGGGGCTGACACCAAAGAGGCTCTCCCGGCTCCAGGTAGGATTGAGTTTCTGGCCATCTGCACTGAAACGATAGGCTCGGTTAGCTCTGCAATGGAAAGCAAGATGGGAGGGGAAGGAATTTTTACAACATCTGCTGCATTTAAGCTCTCCAGAGTTTACAGCCCTGACATGTTGAAGTTTGCCATTCGGGACAGACGGATGGGGAACAGCCCGAGAGTGCATCTACAGAGTTTCTTTCCCCAGGTCCCCAGACAGCTGTGGCCGTGCCCTGCACAATGTCTCCGAGGTGTTCCATTAGCAGCCTGGCTCCCTGCGCACACGTGGCCAGAAGAACGCTTTCTAAATACAATTTTACTTTTAATCAGGTCGTAGTTTAAACATGTCAAGCTGATGGTGCAGCTTAATGATACCAGTGACTTAAAAGCTGCCCCAAAACACATGGAAGAAAGGAAAGAAAATAAACACCTGCCACATAAAATTCACTAAAACATGATATTCAGAACTTGGAGGTGTTCCTGGTCTCTGCACATTTTTGCGATCAAAACGATAGCTTCCAGTAATGAAAAGTATTTATTTGTTGTATTCATGTGAAAAGGAGTTTAAAGCCCCAATTTTAATAAGGGGGTCACATGCCCACACTCACAGAACCTGATAAGAAGTAACTAGAGCATGAAGATGCTAGGAAGATGGCTGCAGAGAGCTTCATCCTTTCTTCCCCATTTAAAAACAAAAAAAGCCCAATAAAAAAATTCCACATTCCTCTGTCAACTATAATATATTTTTAAAGGTGGTGCTAAAAACCCATGTTCCTTCCATCCAAAGATATGGGGTGATCCAGCTGGCAACAGCTGGCTATGAATGCACTGCTATCCCAGGCTACTGTGACATGCTAAAGATTTCTGAACAAACTTCTGACATCACCATCTAGACCACACGAACCAAACTCACAGATGGAGGTAAACAGTTGTAATTATTTTTTTAAAATAGATTCTGATGCTCTTACAACAATATTTATGGACTCTTATGCCCCAAAGGATCACCAGGTACATAAATTTGGTAGCCACCTAAAACATCTGGGTCCTGCATGTAGCAGTGTTATAGGGGCAAATTGGAAGGAGAAGTAAGTAATGTACAGGGAATATAAGTGTAATTTCACTATCTTTACACTTGTAACTAACTGTAACTTTATCTGTATGGTCATGATGTATTAGTATGCTGATAATCTAGCTTCTCATCTGGCTTTTATTATGATAGCAAGCCAGAACTGAAATTTGGTGGTAGAGAGATTAAAAGGACTTCCACACCTGCTAAGTAGGTTATACCATATAGCAGCCTACACTGTAGAAAGTTTCTTCTTCTTCTCATTTGAAATTGCCACAATACATAATTTCTGTATAGGAGATGCTGAAGGGAAGCACTATTTCTACTTTCTCCCTTGGGCTTTTAAAATAATTACATCTGACAAAACCAAATCATCATACACAAGTGGACAAGCCAAAGAGTATGCTCTGAGCAGAGATCCAGGGAAAACATGTGTGGATTTCAGAAGGACAGCCAACTCTGCACTCTAGCACCCAGTAAGACTGCCTGGGATCCAGAAGTCTTCACCATGAAATGTCAGATGCTAGTCAGACCATCACAACAAGTAGATCATGGGAAATTTAATTTGCCCCCAACTTTGATTCTTTCAGACATGGAAAGAAAAGCTTACTTAATGAAGCTTTGGAAAAACCTGGAATCTTCAGACAATCATGCTATGAATAATTAAAGATCTATTAAAAAGTTATAAGACGTCTCTAAGAAATGGTTTTGTCTCAACCAGCCATGGTTATTCTATGCCTGAGTGTAAAGTAACCAACTCCACAATGCATTTTGGCTTCAAAACAGATGTACAATGCAATGTCACTTGATCCTCCTCCTACCTTTTCATAGGTAATGCTACCGCTAAGGGCATGAACTGTAATTATGCTAAAACTTGAATTCAAAATGCCATTACAGTCTTTCAGATCAACTGTATGCTGTGAACATGAGGCATATTTGGCATTGATTAACACACATCAACTCACCCTCAAATGAAATGATGCTTCCTTTTAATAATTGAGGTGGCATTTAATATATGAAGAAATGTAAGGATTTAAATGCCACCACCAAATTACAAAGAAGTTAGAGGTGAGTATCAGTTACTATTCATGAAGAGGTGTCACTTACAATAGGTGACGATGGCTTAAGGACTGTCAAGTTGAGCTCCAAAGTTTCTCCTCATGCAGCCACTAAGGAGCAAAGGTTGCTCCATGAACCAATACACTCCCCTACTTACAGGGCAGCAGCTCATCTCCTTTTTACCATGATAAAGGCAAAGAGTAGAAGCAAGTGATTTAAGGGCCAACAGGAGAGGTTGGCTGCTCAGGAGTGATCTGGGGACTGTGCTGTGAGACCCCACAGCACAGAGCATCAGCAACCCCTGCTAAACCACAGATGCTGTAAAAGATACCAAAGTTTCTTACATGAAAGATGCAGCATATAGTGGATTTGCTATGTTTGTATTGATCTTTAAACTGAAATGATGGTAATGAAAAGGAAAACTGCTTGCATAATATTTACTAGGCACAAATCCAAAGCTCTCCACTGCCCAAGGAACAAAAAAATCAGAATACTAAAGACAGACAGGATGGTTATATAGGCCAAACTGTTCAGCAAATCAGATTAATCTCGTCCAAAAAGTGTGTATACTTTTTTGATATTAATCTTCCATTTTGCAGTGAAGCAAAAAATTTGGATTAAAAAATATGTACACTTATGCTGGGAATGTGTGTACATTTTTCTAGGGCATTCAGATCATATATTTTTATTTCCTTGACAAATATAATGGTAGTTGGAAAATCTTTTCCGAAACATCACGGAATAGTGATTCCTCTAAAATTAACCTCATGTTAACTGAACTGGTAGTGAACTATCAGAACAGAAATCTAATGAAAGTAAACAAGCTGGACTCGATTCATGCCTAGAGATCAAGTGATCTGAGTTAGCTGCACCTTCTGATGCAGAATCCAAGCCAGGGCTCAAAAGGCTGTAAAAACTCATAGTGGAAAGGTTGACTTTTTATTATACTGAATGAAATTTGTACAGCTCATAGAGCTCCTCATTTTTCAGAACTCATGTTTTCTAATCAAAAAGTCTCTTTCTTGAACCATGGTGAAATATAGTGCAGGCTCTCCTATTTTGCTCACTGAAAACATGGGACACAGATGAATAAAAAATAAATACTACAATGCATTACTTTCCCCATATGGTTCAACACCATCGATGACTAAACAAGCAAGAAGAAAACATTTTAAAAGAGTATGTCTTCCAATCATAGAATTGTTTAACTTGGAAAAGACCTTTAAGATCATCAAGTCCAACTGCAAACCTAGCACTGCCAAGTCCACTACTAAACCATGTCCCTAAGTGCCACATCTACACATCTTTTAAATACCTCCAGGGATGGTGACTCCACCTCTTCCCTGAACAGCCTGTTCCAGTGCCTTAAAATTATTTTTTCCTAATAAGATTTTTTTTCCTAATATCTAATTTAAACCTCCCCTGGCACAACTTGAGGCTTTTTCCTCTCATCCTATCACTTGTTATTTGGGAAAAGAAACTGACACCCACCTCACACACCCTCCTTTCAGGCAGTTGTAGAGGGCATAAGGTCTCTCCTCAGCTTCCTTTTCTCCAGACTAACACAGCTCCCTCAACTGCTCCTTCTAAGACTTGTGCTCTAGACCCTTCACCACCTTATTTGCTCTTCATTCTCTAACATTGCAGGAAATTATTATTAAACCAGTCCTAGCAACTGTTAAAGCTCTATTCCCTGCTTTTCTTACATGGATAGAGCCTGCTATTTTTCTTCTTCTCAATTAGAAATTTTGGTTTATAAAGCATTTGTGGCAAGTTAGTCTTTAGAAGACTATGCTCTCTTACTGGTTTCCAACTAGCTTTTCTTCTCTATTTGAATGGGTATATAAGTGAAAACTAACTTGTTTACTTTTATTTGGTTTTACTTTTTCTCTACTCCACCCAGCTTTCTGGTTCTCTGTAAAACAGGTTGTAAGGCTGTGACTGCTTGCTGTTCACAATTATTTCCTTCCATCATTACTCTCATTCTCAGTTTTGTTAAACAAACCATGCATGAAAACAGTGCTCTGCATTGCTGAAATGAAGCCTTAAAATGCTTGTGACTAAGGAACCCAAAATCATGAAAGCAAAACAAAACAGATAGAAACTAATAGCTACAAACCTGATGACTAGATTACAGTGTGCGCACATGGGAGTACGCTTTCCTGCTGGAATATGCTCTGCCCTCTGCACCAGCGTGTCTTGCTCATTCAGCTGAGGTGCTGTCACAAGTTGTTCACTCGGGGCAGTTGTTCCGGGTGGTTTAATACTGTTTGATGTCCATCCACTGGCAGGCACTGGGGAAAGAGGGGCAAAAGAATTTAGAAGACCATCTTTCAGTACCAATTAAATTATTTTGAAATACAAGCAACCAGCAACATTTGCTAACAACTTTGTCCAGTGCATACCTGCCTACTTAAAGGAATAAATTAAAAAGCACTTATTTTCCCCTCCTCCCCCACCAAGTAAGTCCTACCTTCTTTATGAAATGTCTGTGAAATAACACAGAATGGTTTTGGCTAACTTGAAGTAGTGGACAAATTTCAACATACTAAAGCAGTTAGGCGAAGGAATATACAACGTGTGAAGGCATTATTTTGCCTTACACACAAAAGCTGAAGCCAAGAATATCAGTGTATGAAGAGAGATGGGAGAATATGACATACCTACTCAAAACATTTTACAAGGAGTGCAATAGCTCATACATCATCACTAACAGATTAAACAAGAGTACACATTCAATACAACATGTACAGGAACTTAAAACACAGTACTGTATAAGGAAAACATATTTCTAAATCAAATTTAAACACTGGTCTAGATCTCTAGATACTGCCAATCTGAAACACTCCAAAAGCCACGTTCACATCCTCTTTATAAAAGTTATGACACTGAAATAAAAACCTGACGCTTTCAGGAATGTACACATCCACACACTTCCACTTGCGCTCAGGTTTTTAGAGTTGTAGAGCAGACATAAGCTTTTATGGAGCATGAAAAATGCAGTTACAAAAATGAAAGGCACAGATGATATTTGTTGCCATGGGTAATGAAGAAACAAACAGTCCTCTGCTTTTCTTTCTCCTGTATTGATACATGTACCTTGGTAATGTACAGGCTACAGCATCACAAGTTTATGGGAGCAGTTATTGCTGTCAAAGTGCAGAATTCTTTTTCAGGTACACTAAAACCCCATACATTTCCATAGCCTTTTGTTTGTAACCACAGGCAAGAGAAATGGAGAGGGTTTACTTGGTGACCTGGCTTTAGTGCAGCCGTACTAAACCTTGTAAATCAAAAAGTGAAATTAAGATCCGAGTGGAAGCTCAGAGAAAGACACCCAAGCAATGACAGAGATGTCAGACAGCGCAGGATGATGCTTCTGCTGCAATGATGCAGCTCTCCAACATGAAGTCAGGGCATTGGTATGTAGCCTGGCAAGAAAACTAGTTTGTGGAGCTGTTAGTATTTGTGTGAATCTTCCTCTCCCATCTTTCATGTCATCTTCCAGGGAAAAGATGAAAAATTGCTTATCATTATCTCCCTTAATGTAATGCTGACCAGCCTCAGCCCCACAGAAAAGTTGCAAATACCTCTCAGGCAAAATATTGCATTCCCTGCTCAAATGGATGTGGCTTACTAATTCACAGAGGAGATTAATTTAAGTGACAGCAAACGCACATAAAATTCAACAGAAATGGCAATCCCCTATTTAGAGAAGCATGATAGCCACGCACCACACAATTTAATCAAACCCATCCAGTGAGCCTTAATTAATTACCCCCCACCTCTATTCACACTTATTTGTAAGCTAAGGCAACATAGCTGGAAGAGAAATACTTTTTAATACCAGTACTTTTGTATTATAATTATTCTTTGTATTAATCCATTGATACAGGCTCAATACCTACTTTTGCTTACTCTTTCTCTGTATGAAGCAGCAATATAGTCAGACACCCTATTTTATCTCACTGGCTGGTTCATTAAATTTTCTCAAATCAGGTCATTTCAAGACAGACACATTTTTGGATCTCTTTCAGTATCTAAATTAGCAAAAATTATACCAGTTCATCAGTGGTTTTTGTTGTGTTTTGGGTTTTGTTTTTAAATATAAGATTATTTCTTATATTTAATGCATAATTAATTAATTTTCAATATCTTGAAAAGTAACACCATGATTCTAGAAACTTTCAGCATTCTTGAGTAGAAAGTATTTAGGAATAAAAGCACTTGCTCTTGAACAAGTCGCTCTGCTACTGTACTTTATTTTAGATTATAAATGCCTGCTAAACTGAAAACCTAAGAACAGATAAAAATGGAAAAGGTAGCAGAAAGGCTTTGAAGACATGAACAAAAGTGGTTTTGATTAATAGCACTTTCCTCCTCTGTCATCACACATAGCTTTCTAATTTTCAGGTTCTATTTCACGAGAAGACAAAAATACACACTAAATCCAAACCTGTTTGAAGACTGCTTTTGCCATAAATCAAACTGTAGTGCAGTTTCTAGTATATTGCTAATTTCTGTTTGACTCATCTGCTGAATCCCAAAGCCCACTCAGACACATGAGCTAGCTCTTGTTTGCACTGTGTAGTTAAAAAAAAAAGCTCTACTTCTTGTTTAAAGGGGAAAAAAGTACAAACAGCACGATTATTCCCTTTTCTCTGGTCTCATTACAGCTTTCATTAATGCTGGTTTTATGACTGATGCTTTTCTGAACACCACTCAACTTCAGAGTTCCTACTGGCCAAGAGCAGGATTTGTCTACGTAAACTTTCAGAGTTGTTAGACAAATCAGTCATTTCTGAGTTATTCAAAGCACTAAAAAAAGGAAAGAAGGAGATAACTCTTTAAAAGTTTGGGAAATAACTTTGGCCTACTAGCAATACTAGTGAAAACAAAAATACTCTTTCAAGCAAACTGTACCATAAACCACACAAACTTGTATTGTGTTAAGCAAGAGCTGTGGCCTACACAAAACCAAGCTGAGCATTTAGCCCTGAGGGCCAGTGAAGACAGATGGATCACTTCCACCAAAACCGGTGAATTCGGGTTCAACACCCAGACCTCCAGCAGACACACAAATCCCATGGGATCACAGCCACAGTAAGAGCAATGACAAATAAGCCCTGTGCCTTCAGATACTTCTATATTTGCCAGAATATTTTTGGATACTGAACAAAAACTGAGTTCTAAAAGGCTTTTCAACTGTCATGTGTAAATTTATGTCATTACTCTGGGTAGGTCTACTATGATGGGAACAATATCTAATTGATGACCGCAGATGCCATCTGCAGCTAAGAACTAGGCCAGAAGAGGTTCCCTTCTGCTCAGAAAACTCTGAAAAGCAAGACCTTACAACATTTTGTCAAATGCTTTCTTCTTTCACCTTGCGAGGCCAGTGCAAGGCCTGGACTATTTGTCCCAACAGCGTTCTCTCAGGGGGTATTTTTTCTTTGCTAGTATTCACCTTAAGACCTTGTAGGTCTTGCACAGTATTATACCCCTCTATTCCTGTTCTGAACTGGGCACAAGTTTATTTCAGTCGAGATCTTTCATCCTAAAGGAGTCAGTCTGCTTCTATTGCCTTTAGGTCCACAGTCCACATTCTTATTAAAGAAAACACAGCAGTGAAGTACAGTAATAGCTCTTTCACCACGTTTAGTATACTAGTTTCTCTGTAAACCTTCTACAGTCATTCTGCTAGATTTTTTTTCACTATAGATCATTCTTCCTTTCTGACCACTTGATTTGCCTCAGTTTTACCTTCCTCATTCCCACCTGAACACCAGCCAAAGGACAGCTTTTATTGCCCACTTGTGTCTTTCATAGGCCACAAACTTGCCTTTAACACTCTAGTAATTTTGGCAAAGGTTCGTTACTTCCACTGCAATCCAGGGAGCATTTTTTTGTTGGAGGTGGTATTTTTGTTTGTTGGTTTGGTTTTTTATTTTAAAAACCCCACTATTAGTTCACCATTTAAAATATCTATGAATTCTCAGTACTTTTTTTTCAACAATATTCAAATTCTTGTAGCTAGAGTTTCAAATATTAGGTTTGTTTTCTTGTTTAGATTGAACACTGATGTTTCCCAACTATACCTTCTACTTAAAGAGCAAGTTTAACTCTCCTGCACTGGACAAGAAGCTTTGTCTGCAAGCAGAGAGGAAGGGGACACTCAGAGTCCCCACATGCCCCTCCTGACCTTTCTCTTCCCTATTCCCTTGAAAACCTTTCATATTGAAACACAACCACATGATTTAAAGAAAAACATCAGGCCCAGCAAACTTAGGCAGGTGTTTTTTCTTGCAATAAGAAGCTTTTACCAGGGGACACCAGTAATGACAAGGCAAGTACAAATTATTACACTCAATCTCAGCAAAGACCTCTCAACTCTTGGCAATCACTGAGCTCTCCTGTGGCTTGTGCTTTATACTTTCCTTTTTGCATTTTACATACATGATTTTGGATCCCATCAGCAGCTCTGTTCTCAGAGAGTGTTGGGGAGGTGCCCGGGTACCCGAGATCTGGTGAGATACAGGCACATTTTTGATTGCAAATGATGATTATGTGAGGATTGAAAAGGAAACAAATCCAGGTGCCTCCTGACACAACGTCACCTCATGTATATTCTGGGCACCACTTTTGTTGCTTGAAATGGGACAGAGCACAGCAAATTTTGTGGGTGCTCTGAAGAGTTATAAATTATAATAATTAAATACAAAAAATAAATAAAAAATAATTTATAAGGCTTATACACCCCATCAGGAGTTAACCTACCCTAAGTGCCAGGTAGGTTTGGGTTCTCTGTAAGTCAGGAAAATATCTCTGTGGCCAAATTTTGAAGTTTTGCAGGCTTCACTTCACTTTTGCTCTCTTTAATTAAACCTTCCAAAGCACTGTTGATTTACACTTGTGTATTGTCATAGCTGACTTTTCTAAAACAGAAAACACTCTGTACCCGACTATTAACTTCTTACTTTATTAGGTTTAAGTTTAGCAAACCCTCAATGTTTGCTTTCACTAAACTCCTTGGTATGGCTAGTTTAATATTTAACAAAGTTTTAGGCAAGGTAAAGAAGTGGCTTTTTTTTTCCTTTTTTCAAAAATCCCAGTGTGACTTTGCCCTCTCAATACTAACAATGGGCTGTTCCATCGCTGAGCACATGGATAACTGCAAACACTGGCGAACGCTCAGGAAGACAAAGGGAGAAAGGCGGATACGCGGCGCTGCCAAAGTCACTTTGACAGAGGTTCTCCGGTGCGTAGCAACAATACAACAGCCTGAACTGTTTAA